TGGCACACAGAGGCTGGGAATGGGAATCTTCCACCAATGCTGGGGCTATGTTTTGACTGTCAGTAGTGACTGACTGAGAAAGCAGTTCTCTCCCGTGCTCCAGGCTGCTGCTGCTGCTTCCCCTTGGAGCTGAAGTGATTTTGCTTTTGCAGTAGTGAGATTTTGCATGCACACATCAGCCACTTACAGCTGGAAACATCATTTCCCTCCTTCAGGCCACAGCCTTCACTGCTCTGTGAGATCTTTACTTCCTGCTGTGGACAGGCTTGGCTAGTTCAGAGGCTTTCACAGAGCCATTTCCTGTTTACTGTTCACGTGATGCTTTGCCAGTGGGAGCTGGGCTGGAGGAGGAAACATTCCATGTTCTTTTGGGATCTCTTGAGTTGGAACACACTCAGTGTCTTGCCCTCTCCCTGTGGAGGGCAGGATGTGTGGGTCACAGACTGAGTGCTGGCAGTGGGTCCCAAGTGTGACATTTGTCCCATTTCTAGGTAATGTGCTTGGAGCTATACAAGCCTAAAGGAAGACATGGAATCATACCAATGTTTTTTCTGTAGTTGGGCCGATTTTTTTCCATGGTTTGACCTTTGGTGTCTCTGCTGTGTTTATTCAGTGCATACATTTGTCATAGCCAGACAGTTCAGGGGAAAGTGTATCCCCTGTACTTCCTTCTGAGCATCCTCCTCCCCTCTCACTGCTGGATGACTCTGCAGTTACCCTGCCTGGCTGCCAGCAGCTCCCTGAGCTGTGCACAGTGTGTGTGGGCAAAGCTTGGGGCTGTGGTCCTACAGGTGTGCTGACAGCTGGGCCCTGGCAGGGTGGTTTGGTGCCTCTGCAGGTTGTTGTGTTGATGTCCTGCCTTGAATTGCCACTGGAGAAGAACCCTGTTCCCTCCCAGCTTCAAGAATCACAGACTTGTTAAGTTTGGAAAAGGCCTCTAAGATCAAGTCCAACCTTTAACCTAGCAGCACTTAAGCCATGTCCCCAAGTGCCACATCCACATGCCTTTTACATCCCTCCTGGGATGGTGACTCCACCACTGCCCTGGGCACTCTGTACCAGGGCTTGACAACCCTTTCAGTGAAGGTATTTCCCCTTTATCCAATCTAAACCTCCTCTGGTGCAACTTGAGGCCATTTCCTGTCATCCTGTCGCTTGTTACTTGGGAGAAGAAACTGATCCCCACCTGACTCCAGCCTCCTGTCAAGGTGTTGTAGAGAGCAAGGTCCTCCCTGAGCCTCCTTTTCTCCAGGCTGAATATCCCAGGCCTGGTTATGGGTGGAAAAGGCTGTTAAAGGCTCTTACTTCCCTGCTGGGTTGGGTGTCAGAATTATTGAGGCTGTGGTTAGAGCAGGCTCCCTGTGTCCTGGGACAGCCAAGCCAGCTGGGGCTCAGTGGAGAGCAGCCAGGGCTTGCAGTCCCCACCTTGCTCTGGCAGAGCCAGCCAGGAGCAGAACAGCCCAGAGAGCAAGGAGAAGGGGCAAAAGCTGTAACACATTGCCTGCCTGAGCCCTTGGTGCTGGGGATCAGGTGGGCAGGGACTGGCCTGACTGAACACTCATGGTTTCTGTTCCAGGGACGGCCAGGAGGTCGCAGTGGTGTACTACAGAGAGGGCTATGTGCCACAGAACTACGACGAGAAGGTCTGTACCTCCTCCCTGCTCCCAGAAGCTGCCAATGCTGTGGCATTGCCCAGCTAGTGTGGAATGCCCTGTGGTCCCAGGGGGATCTGCGGTGGGGAGAGTCCTGCCTGGCATGGCTGAGAGAGAGCACTGGGGAGCTGTGACTCCAGAGAGCATGCAGGGGACCGTGGCACCCATGCAGTAAGAAAAACGGGTGGTTTTCTTCTGCAGTCACCACTTGTGGTGTTCTCTTACTGCAGCACCGAATTGCTTTTATGCAGTGTGGGTTAGCACAGGTATTGGCACCTGCTGGAAGATTTTAGACTTGATCTACAGATCACTCTTAGCACCATCACGCTGCACGTGATAATACAGACCAGAACTCGCTGTCGTCTGGAGGTGGCAGCACTGGACAAGCTTGCAGAGGGAGCATAGGGAAAGGCAGTGGAATGTCCTGGCCGTGCTGGTTGTAGAGGTAGTGGGAAGTCCGTGTCTGCTTGAATCTGGAGCGCTATTCCCACGCCTGTCCCAGCCAGCAGGGAGGGAAGAGACAAATCACATCTCGGTAACTGAACAGAAACGAGTGGAGAAAACCTTCAAGTGTGTTTTTTGCTGAGGGAGTTGCTGCTCTTGTTCTCCCTCAGAACTGGCAGGCAAGGCTGCTGCTGGAGCGCTCGCGGGCGGTGAAGTGCCCTGACATTGCCACCCAACTCGCAGGCACCAAGAAGGTGCAGCAGGAGCTGAGCCTCCCAGGGACACTGGAGAGATTGCTGCCTGGCCACCCTGAGGCTGTCACTCGAATCAGAGCCACGTTTGCTGGGCTGTATTCCCTGGATGAGGTGAGTGGGAGCAGGACTGGGGGTGCAGATGTGTGCTCATCGGAATGGGTGTGCAGATGTGTGCTCATCCTGTGTGATGTTGCTCTTTTTGGTTAAGACAATGAGAGAGCTTTGTTGTGGTCCTTGGGGACCCTGGTGATCCTGCTCAGAGAGGTCTGTTGAGGAGCCCCTGCTGCTCCCTCATGCTTGGCTGTTCATAGAATCACAGAATCATTTAGGTTGGAAAAGACCTCCAAGATCATTGAGCCAAACCCGTGACCCATCACCACCTTGTCAGCTAGACCAGAGCACTAAGTGCCACATCCAGTTGTTTCTTGAACACCTCCAGGGGTGGTAACTCCACCACCTCCTTGGGCAGCTGTTCCAATGCTTAACCACCTTTTCCATGAAGAAGTTCTTTCTGATGTCCAACCTCTCTCCACCCTGCCAGGGCGAAGAGGGTGACAAGATAGCTGCCACAGCCATCGCTGACCCCGACCGGTTTGTGCTGAAGCCTCAGCGAGAAGGTGGAGGTAGGAGCTGGGCTGGGCCCGGGTGGCTTTGCACTGTGGGTTGGGCTGTATGCAGGAGGCAGTAGCTCTGTGCTGGCTCCTGGTCCTGTGCTGAG